CCTCAGTATTCAGGTTAAATTGCCGTGTTGGCACTTTGCGATCAATAAGTGGGTTTTGGGTCGCAGTTTGGGCACTCGGTCTCTAAAAGGTTCGCCGTCACTGTCCTAGGAGGAAAGGCTGCAGGAACCTGGAGGAGATCAAAAGGAGGGGGGCTGCCAGGGGTGGGGTGGGGAGATGTCTTCTTCAGCTGGGGGGGGGAGAGGGGCCCTGACAGGAGGGGAGACAGGGGGCCGTCTGCCATTGGAAGTCTTTGAGCAGAGCCTGCGCGGCCATTTCTCAGGGAGCCTCCAGCTTTTTGATTTCCGGCATGGCGGTGAGTGCCAGGCAGGATGGGCCCCGAGGTCATGGCTCAGAGGGAGGGGAGGGGAGGGGCCCACGTGGCTCGGTGGCCGGGCAACCGCTTGGGCCGGCAGAAGGTCCCCGGTTCAGTCCCCACCTGCCTCTGCGGCTGGAAGGGTCAGGTCGTAGGTGAACGAGGGAGACCTCCGCTGGAGACCCTGGAGAGCCAGCTGCCCATCAAGAGTAGACAGCCCTGACTTTGATGGACGGAGGGGCGGCTGGGCGTGCTCTCAGGGGCCCCTTCCAGTTCCTGGGCTGCTTCTAAGCATGTTTTCACTCAGAAAGGGTCTTGCACTTGCTGGAGTCGCTGCCACGGGCACATTTAAAACCAGACACATTCGTGGAGCAGAAGCACACCGATGGCTGGACGCTATCCTGAATGGGACCTCCATGTTCGGAGGCAGAGCCCCACTGAACGGCAGCGCTTGTGGGGGAGGGCAACAGCGGCAGCGGGAGACTCTGCCCCCCCCTCGCTGTGGCCTGCTTTGGGTCTGGCTTCTGGGGGAGCCCCCATGGCTGGCCGTTGTGCAAAGGACCCTGCTGGGCTGGGCTGGCCGGGCCTGGAGTCTGACCCGGTGAGGGGAGCCGAGGCAGGGGCTGTCCCTCCCGACTCCTCGATGTCTGCCGCAGACTGAGCAGCTGAGCTGCAGAACAAGGATCGGGGGACACACGGGCTCCCTGGCCAAGCGCTCTCTTGCCAGGAGAAGGAGAAGAAGAGGAGAGATTGGATGTATACCCCATGGGCCTTCACTCCCTAAAGGTGTCTCAGAGCGGCTGACAAACTCCTTTCCCTTCCCCTCCCCACAACAGACAGACACCCTGGGAGGCGGGTGGGGCTGAGAGAGCTCTTGACAGAAACGGCTCTTTTTCAAGGACAGCCCTTATCAAAACTAGGGCTTGCCCAATGTCATCCAGCCAGGTGCAAGTGGAGGAGGAGTGGGGAATCAAACTGGGTTCTCCCAGATTAGAGTCCACGCACTTAACCACGACACCGAACTGGCTCTCTCTAGAAGAGAGTGGATGTATACCCCTTGCCCTTCACTACCCAAGGGAGTCTCAGAGTGGCTCACAAACTCCTTCCCCTTCCCCTCCCCACAACAGACACCCTGTGAGGCAGGTGGGGGCTGAGAGAGCTCTGGCAGAAACAGCTCTTTTTCAAGGACAGCTCTTGTCAGAACTACGGCTTGCCCAAGGTCATCCAGCCAGGTGCAAGTGGAGGAGGAGTGGGGAATCAAACCCGGTTCTCCCAGATCAGAGTCCGCGCACTTAACCACTACACCAAACTGGCTCTCTCTAGAAGAGAGTGGATGTATACCCGTTGCCCTTCCTTACCCAAGGGAGTCTCAGAGTGGCTGACAAACTCCTTCCCCTTCCCCTCCCCACAACAGACACCCTTTTGAGGTAGGTGAGGCTGAGAGAGCTCTGGCAGAAACAGCTCTTTTTCAAGGACAGCTCTGGTCAGAACTAGTGACTGACCCAAGGTCATCCAGCCAGGTGCAAGTGGAGGAGGAGTGGGGGAATCAAACCCGGTTCTCCCAGATCTAGAGTCTGCGCACTTAACCAGGACACCAAACTACACCAAAGGAGGATTCAACAGAGGCCACAGTGGGCTTCACAGCCAGGGAGGAGGAGGAGGAGGCGGAGCCTTTGGGGCATGATCTAGGGTTGCCAACTCCGGCCTGGTGATTCCTGGAGCTTAGCCCAGGGAAGGCAGGGGCCAGAGAGGGGAGAGGCCTCCGCAGGGTATAAAGCCACCACCCTCCAAAGCTGCTGTTTTTCTCCAGGGGAGCCGGTCTCGGCCGTGTGAGTCCCAACAACCCTGCGGTGGAGAGCAGAGCTTCATAGAAATCCAGATGGAAAGAGCTGGGGTGGGGGTGGGGGGGTGGATGAGGACTGAGGGGACCAGGTGAACTGGAGGGTGGAGAAGAGGCTATGGTTACGCCACACCTGATCTTAGCCAAAAGGCCGAGAAGCAGTCTCTCTTGCTCCGGATGGCAAGAAGAGATCGAATGGGTGGGAATTACAAGGGAGTTGATATACCGGCTGAAGAAACTTCCTAACTGTAAGAGTGGTTGAGCAGTGGAACAGTCTGCCTCGGGAGGTGGTGGATGCTCCTTCGCTAGACGTTTTCAAGCGGAGGAGGCTGGACGACCCTTTTTCGGGTTATCTTGTAGGGCTCTTTTCCGGCTCTGCTCCTGCAGAGTGCTGCAGGGGGGTTGGACTAGATGACCTGCAAGGTCCCTTCCGACTCTTAACATTCTACGGTTCTAGGATTCCGACTGGCGTCCAGGCCCCCGGCCAAACCGTGGGTCCCCGCGGAGCCCCCTCCCGCGTGCCGGGGGAGGTGACATTCAGGGAAGGACCTGCGGGGGGAGCAGAGGCTGTCTCCTGCCCACCCCACCCTGCCTGGGGGGGGGGCCGCTGTCCATTGCACTCAGGGAGGGTCGTCGTCCGCCTGCTTCAGAGGTCGTCCGTCGTGTGGTCGGTCCCGTGGCCTCCCCCCACCCCCATCCCCCACCCCGCTCACCTCTTCCTCGTCCAGCATCAGCAGCTGGTTCCCGGAGATGATGCAGAATCTGGGGTTCCAGGGGCGGTCGTAGGGGGAGTGCATGTACTGGGCGCGGTGCAGGGGAGCTCCTCGCACATCTGCGTGAGGAAAGGGGAGCGTTAAGGAGACACCCCAGGCAGTTCCTCCTGCCCCAAACAGACAGACGAACGGACAGACACACACGGAGGGGGGCTTTTCGTCTGCAGCAGCTCCCCTGCCGTTCCCCCCACCCCCCACCAGTGTTCCCTCTAAGCTGAGTTAGTGTGAGCCATCTCACAGTTCTTTAGCCTCCAGCTCACACTTTTTTGTCTCAGCTCAGGAAGGGATGGGGCTCCAGAGCAAACTAATTTAGGCAGCAGCCAAATGGCTCGCTCACCACTTGAATGCCAGGAGCTCACCGAGTAGAATTTTTGCTCACAGGACTCCACAGCTGAGAGGGAACATTGCGCCCCACCCAGGCCCTCAAGGGACCACCTTGCCAGGAAGCCTTGAGCCGTCTCTGGGGGCACCCCCCACCCCCTCCCCAAGCAAAGTCCTCAAAGGTAGAAGGGGCACGTGGTGCAGGGGTCCAGACGGAAAGGGGCCCACGAGGCCACCGGCGCTCCTGCCCAAGGCCCCCTCTCAGCTGTGGAGTCTTCTTGTGAGCCTTCGCTCTGGATCCCCATCCCTTCCTGAGCGGAGACAAAAAGGTGTGAGCCGGAGGCTAAGGACCTGTGAGCTGGCTCACACTCACTCAGCTGAGAGGGGACACTGCTCCTGACTGTTTGGGAACTGAAGCGCGGCTGCTGGGTTAGTTGGGGGGGGGGCGCAGGAAGGCACCCTCTTTCCCCCTCCCCCCCCTCCCTGCAAGCTCCACGGACGGTCCCTCCATCTTCTGCCTGCCCTTTCCTCCCCGCTCCCCTGCTCGGTGCGGGAGGGACGTGGGCCTGGGGGGTGGCCGGCCCCTGAGTCTCCTGCCCTTGCGCGCCCCTCTCCACCCATCCCCGCCAGCTCGGGCCTCCACTGGCCTCGGGGGTGCGGGGCCGGCCGGTGCCATGGGGGCGCGGCGGAGAGGGGCCCCCCTGCTGGCCAGGGGCAGGGCTGGAGGGCTCCGAAGGGCTCCCTGTGCAGCCGCCCGGGGCGCCTCGAGCGCATCCTCCGGCCGGCCGGAGCCTCCTCCCTGCGGGGGTGGAGGGAGGGTTGTGTAAGGGCCTCTCTCTGCCGGGAGCCTGCTGCCCTCTGGCGGCCGACGGGCGGGCGGCGAAGGGCAGCCTCTCGTCTCCCTCCGCGGACGCGGCGTCTGGGGACCGGCGCTTGGCTCTCTGGCACGGGCAAGGAGCGCGCCCACACCTTCCCCTACAGCCGGGAAGGGAAGGCCTCCCGAGGGGAGTTTCCCGGGGCCATCTCCGCGGGGGGGGGGGGCC